CACTCCTGTACTTCACAGAGGTCCCCACATACAAACAGTAGCTTGGTAATTGTGAACACCTTTCACCTGCTCCTAAAATTCTTATGAAGTTTTCCRGTGCCTTATCTTCTCCTAACAATGTAAAGAAGACTCAACTGGCTGCCTTCGCCTTCTAAAATAATTTGTTGGAAACCACATTCCAGTGATTGAACTCAGGACCACTCAACCACTGAGCCACATCCCCAGCCCTATTTTGTATTTTATTTAGAGACAGARTCTCACTGAGTTGTTTAGCGTCTCACAGTTGCTGAAGTTGGCTTTGAACTCATGATCCTCCTGCCTCAGCCTYCTGAGCCCCTGGGATTAYAGGCATGCACCATCACACCCAGCTGGAAAACACATTCTTAACAAGTTTTTTAAAAAGAAAGTTAAATACAGTTTTGCTGAGGAATAATCAGTATCTTGTGGAGAGTGCACTGTTTGTAATATGATGGCTAAAATTTGTTTTTATATTTTGAATTTGTCAGTTGGGGCATTTTCTGGTGAGCTGGGTTTGAGGCCCTTCCCCTTCATATAAGTGTATGTACAACATGATGGGAACTTGTATCACTTCAAACTTTCTTAAACTAAGTCTTGTCTCGTTTTATGATGGCAGGCCAGTGCTTCAGGAAGCATTTTGCAAGGTTGGTAGTTACCYGCTCCCTTCTCAAATCCTTTATGGAACTGGAAACTATCGAATGTCTGTTGTATACACCTTCCAAAACATGAAGGAAGAGAAGAAATGTTAGCCAAAAACCCTTTTCGAGTATGTGCCACTGTAAAAAGGGCTATGGACCAAGGATATGATTGATTGTAGGTAATTGTAAAAACAACAGTTCATTTTATGTGTTTGAATGCTGTACTCCCAGGATAATTCCCAGGACCTCTGTGGAAAGGATAGAACTACAGGAAGGAACTCTTCCTTCCAGGAATTCATTTATCATGCCATACTGACATGTAGAATTCCAGCATACAAAAATTAGTTTTAGTTTTCTTTTGTGCTTTCCATTGTTTCTAAATCACAGTAAGATCCTTATGGTCATCAAATATAGTATTTGTAAAATTTATTATATCTCAGATTATTTMAAAAGATGCAGTAGAGCTGTTCCCATTAAAGGACCTATGGAAGTTCAAAGAACTAAAAATTTTGACAGTAGGTTTAGGCCTGTGAGCTTGTATTCTTTGTTTATGAGTATTTTGAGTAGTGATTATGTATTAAATTATTCAAGAAAAATAAACCTAACAATGTTACTAACTGTCTTATTAATGAAATAATCCCTAAATGTTGAATTCTAGTCTGACCAATGATAGTCTGAATAAAAGTCATACCTCTGATGTGGCTCAGTGGTAGAGCACCCATCTGGCATGCATGAGGCCCTTGGTTCAATCCCCAGCACCACAAAACAAACAAACAAACAAAAAACCTGTCATTTGTCATCTTGCTTTGCTTGATATGTAATGAGGAAATAGTAATAACTTTCTTTTTATATGAATTTTTTCTTCATTCCATAGGAATGACCACTTCTAATCTATCTGTTTAATAATTTTCTTTTTTAGAGCATTAAAATGAAAAGTAGAAGGGAATAAATGAGAAAAGAATTCCCAACAAATGCATGGTATTTCAGTGTTAAGACCAAAATGTGTCCGGTCTTGCCAATATCTCTTCTCTTGCCAGATAAGGTGAATACCGGGATTGCCACGCCATTTGGGGGAGCAGTGTAATTGTAGGAATAGCTTATGACTCCTAACAGCCTCATCTCTTGGCCTCCTTTTTTTTCCCCTTACAAATCAGTCATTTTATTTTATTTTACTTCATTTCTTTTTTATTGATTTTTTTWWAAAAATAAATGACAGCGGAATGCATTATAATTCTTATTACACATATACAGCTCAATTTTTCATATCTCTGGTTGTATATAAAATATGTTGACACCAATTCATGTCTTCATACATGTACTTTGGATAATGATGTCC